CTAACTCTTTCTTTGACTAACTCTTTCCCTCACTAACTCTTTCTTTGACTAACTCTTTCCCTGACTAACTGTTTCTTTGCTAACTCTTTCTTTGACTAACTCTTTCCCTCACTAACTCTTTCTTGGACTAACTCTTTCCCTGACTAACTCTTTCTTTGACTAACTCTTTCCCTGACTAACTGTTTCTTTGACTAACTCTTTCTTTGACTAACTCTTTCCCTCACTAACTCTTTCTTTGACTAACTCTTTCCCTGACTAACTGTTTCTTTGCTAACTCTTTCCCTGACTAACTGTTTCTTTGACTAACTCTTTCCCGGACGAACTCTTTCTTTGCTAACTCTTTCTTTGACTAACTCTTTCCCTGACATTCTAAAAGTCCGTAACACGGAAGTTTCTCTCCCTAAACTTCCTTTGACTACCACTACTACTACCACTACTACTACCACTACGACGACGACTCCTACTACTAGTACTACTACCACTACATTGCACTACGCTACACTACCCTAATTACAATACACTACAACTACAACTACACTACTTTACACTACACTATACCACACTACAGTACACAACACTACAGTACACTACAATACACTGCAACATACTACGGTGATTACACCACACCACAACTACAACTGCAAGTTCAACTGCTACTACACTACACTAATTACATCACATTAGAACTACAACTTACAACTACAACTTCACTACACTACATTACAACTACAACTACAACTGCACTACACCACACTACATCCAACAGTTGCGGTGAGGTGACCACTGCAACCATTGCAACCACTCAAAAAAAAACGCAACTCCAACCACCTTTTGGTCCATCAGTGGATTCGCTCTGCCATCCGTGATTCACAACAACCAACCTCTCCTATAGGTTTCCTACGTCTGAAACTTCCGCCACCACCTTGTGCGGTACTACTGGTATAGGTTTCATAAGTTGTATTTACCCTAAATAGTGTCACACATGTCGCAAAAGGGAAATCTCCATCGACAGCAGCTTCAACTTTCACGTTCAGAACCTGGCCAACATTTCACATCAACATCAGGAATTGGAAGACAAGTATCTAACTTGCAAATATCTATTGTCTGAACATATGGTAACCCCAAAATCCCTCACTGCCCCATGGTTTGTCAATTTATCACTTCACTGTAAAAAATATTGCCATCACTTCAAGATAAATCTCCCAAGCTTAACTTAAGGAAACCACCGCAACCCATATCTTCAAAACTCAATCGTATAAAGTCATGTAAATTCTGCATGCTCGAATTGCCAATTCTTGTATCATTATCCACCATTTGGGGTTGTCATTATATACCGGATTACGCCTCAAAAATCCGCTGGTCCATCATAATTCCAGTCATCTTGAACTACCAGTGTTCCTTATATGAAGGTTGCAATTAAAAAAACTGTAGCAAACCCCAAAATCGATTACACAAGTCATTCTTCATACTTACTCGGATGTTGCTTTTCTATCTTCTTGGGATTTTTTGGGAGATTGTCCAATCGCCATCCAATCGCCCGAGCACCCAAGGCTCTGGGTGCAACGTGCTCGAGGCCTTCGAGGCTTTTGAGTTCCTCGAAGCTCTCGAGGCCTGTTTCAGTATCACACCATTCGCCGAGGAAGCCGCGGAATCCTCACCTTTAGGCGGAGGTTGGGGTTTTTGGGGTTGAAGTTCCTAAAAATGGAAAACCCAAAACATGAAACATTGCCAATATAACCTGAATGATAACTTGGGGTGAATTTAGGAAATCTCCAGCTGCAGCTCCATAGAGCTGCCCTTTGAAGCAATCCGTTTGCCGCGCGGGTTCAGAATTCCAACTTTGAAAAAAGGATCTGCACATTATAGGTCCCTCGGCAACCCATGTGCAGCACCCCAACCTGGGATTGAAAAACAAGAAGATTCTTACCCGAATGAGTTAAGGCAAGTTTCAACATGTTCCAACCACCACTGTTTTCATGGACGTTTTTTTTGTTGCCTCCCGGGCTTCAGCTGACACTATTTAAATATAATGTTCAGCCCCCCTTTCCCAAACTACTGTTTCAGACACCTGGCTGACCATTCTCATGATCGTCAGCCCTTTTCTCCTCAACCTTCTCTGCCGCAGGAGCATTGTCTGCCTGAACAACCGTCACGGTCAGAGTCACAGGAGCCGTGTCTGCCTCAGGCGCATCATACCAAGTCAGACAGTGAGATTGGTATAGATTGGTGAGGTGAACAATGGTGAACAACAAGTGGAAACAATTTAGCAAACCAATAGTACGATAGTTTCGACGGCGAAGATTTTGGCGTAGCAACACGGGCAGTGGCAGGTCATCCCCTCACTCAAAACATGACCATCGTATTGTGCGGAATGTGACAGTCCGTCGATATATGTTTTCTTATGGTGTGTTTGGTAAATAAGTTCAAGGAGCCGCTTCTTGGTCTTCGAAAATATGACTTATCTAAACGCGCTGAAACTGAAGATCTGCATTATGTTTCGTGATTCAAACCGCATGTAATTCCTGCAGGAATGCTGCTAGCGCACATCTATACGTAGGGGATGCCGATTCTAACCTTGTAACTGCTTCCCACCATCTGTAATTTTTACTTTTCTTATTTGTTGTTTTCTTCTTCTTTTTTTATTATTATTCTTCTTCCCTCTTCCTTCTTCTTATTTTTTTCTTTTTTTCTTATTTTTTTTCTTCTTTTTTTTTCTTCTTCTTCTTTTTTCTTCTTCTTCCTCTGGAGGCGAACGCGTCACGGGTTTTGACGCTCCTCGTTGCAACTTTTGCTAGCGCTTTCCTCGCGGGAACCTAGCGGTCAAAATTAGGTGTAAATTCAGAAAGAAATGCTTCGGTTTAAGGTGCCAAGATACCCCCACATCCAATCCGCAAGTGCTGCAAATGGTTAGCTGTAGTTTTGTCGGGCGTTTGGTATCGGGCTTTCCGTCGTGCTTTTTCGTGTTTGTCTTTTCTGACGGCATGATGGCGCATCAGCATCCGTTGTTCGTTGCACGCAAACGCGTCTGTCTTTTCTAACGGCACGGTGTCGCAGTCTAGCAAAGCAACGTTTCGTATTCCCCTCGGAAGCACTGACGTCTTTCGTGTGTGTCTTTTCTGACGGCACGATGGCGCATCAACATCTGTTGTTCGTTGCACGTGGTCGTGTCTGTCTTTTCTGACGGCACGATGTCACATTCTAGCAAAGTGACGTGTCGTATCTGTCTTTTCTGACGATACGGCCGCCGAAGACTTTTGGCCGTTGTTGCTAGGAAAAAAAAGGCTGCTCAGGAACCATGCGCGAGACACGTCGGAGGGATTTGCAAGATTTCTTGACGTTCATTATTAGTGACATGCATGATGAGACTGTATTATGTTATGTTAAGGAAGTACAGCGGTTTCATAGGGATTCATGACGGTGACACTGTAGGACGTTTAGAAGCTTGAATTCATGATTATGTGGGTTGTATCATTAAATGGTGGTTGTCCCTCCAATGATGTTTAGAAGCTTGGGTTCATGAACATGTCGATTTTATGATGAAATGATGGTTGTCTTTTTCAAATGATGTTTAGAAGCTTGGGATCATGACCATGTCGATTTTATGATGAAATGATGGCTGTCCTTCAAATGATGTTTAAAAGCTTGGATTCATTACCATTTCCATTTTCATCATGAAATGATGGATGCCCTTCACATGATATTTAGACGCTTGGATTCATGAACATGTCGATTTTATCATGAAATGATGGTGCCCCTCAAATGATGTTTCTTCTCATGACGGTTCTAGGTTCACTTTTCACGATTTCTTTGTGATGACTCGTGGGGAAAAATTTTGGGGTATTGTTTGAATGACCAGGTTTTCCAACAGCGGTTTTTCCATGGGTGAAGTTCTTGTCTAGCTCATTTTACTGATGTCATGATGTTGCTGTTTGCTTCTCAAAGCTTGGCGCTTGTGAACAATGATAGGATCAGTTTGTGGTGGAACATGACATGGGTCACGTCGTTTAATGCAAGCAAGCACTTGTAGAAGACATATCTTGGCCATTAAAAACAGGGTATGTATCATAATAAAGTGGGTTGTGAGTGGTATGTGACAATCACGGTTGGTGACCTCATGAGTAGGACTCTGTCGCCAGATAGTAGTGCCTGTTCGGATTGTGTGTCTTTTCTGACCGCATCCCTTGCTCGCCATATCGAATAAGCAGTTGCCTGCAACCACCGAGGCACAGAAGACAGTGAGCGCGTGTGTGTCTTTTCTGACCGCGTCGGAGCCATCAGGAAAACGGGATACATGCAGTGATGCGCACCGCGTGAGTGCTGACTGCGTGCGTCTTTTCTGACCGCGTCGGCCGGCATCCGTGTGAAAGATGGGACGCATGACATGCAGTGATGCGCGCCGCGTGAAGCTAATGGCTTTGCTTTGACTCCTTCGCAATCGTGTGATGGCATGCCAGACGTTCTTCCTAGCCATGGACAAATGCGCAGTAATAAAGGTAACAAAGTGCACATTTGGTTGGATAAATGATGTCTTAGCTTTCAGACTGTATTCAGCTTTCTGACAGGCCGTTTCTTGTCTCTCCATCTTCTTTGCAGCCGTTAAAGACAGAACTGTGTGATTTTTCTGACACACAAAAGCGCAGTGTAAAGTTGCCGTATCGATGTCGCTTGGTCTGCTGAGCAGGTAAGATGGTAGATAGACAGCTAGATAGATAGACAGCTAGATGGATGGATAGATAGATAGATAGATGGATGGATGGATAGATGGATGGATAGATAGAGAGAGATAGATAGATAGATAGATAAGATAAGATAAGATAAGATAAGATTAGATTAGATTAGAATAGATAGATAGATAGATGGATTAGATGGATTAGATGGATTAGATAGATTAGATAGATTAGATAGATTAGATAGATAGATAGATGAGATAGATTAGATAGATTGGATAGATAGGATAGATTAGATAGATTAGATAGATTAGATAGATTAGATAGATTAGATAGATTAGAAAGATTAGATAGATTAGATAGATTAGATAGATTAGATAGATTGGATAGATTAGATAGATTAGATAGATTAGATAGATTAGATAGATTAGATAGATTAGCTGGATTAGATGGATTGATAGATGAGATAGATTAGATAGATTAGATAGATTAGATAGATTAGATAGATTAGATAGATAGTTAGTTTGTTAGTTAGATAGTTAGTTAGTTAGTTAGATAGATTAGATAGATTAGATTAGATTGATTAGATAGATTAGGTAGATTAGATAGATAGATAGACAGATAGATAGATAGATAGATAGATAGGTAGATAGATTAGATAGATAGATAGATCGATAGATAGATAGATAGATCAATAGATAGAGATAGATAGACAGACAGACAGATAGATAGATAGACAGACTAGATTAGATTAGATTAGATTGATTAGATAGATTAGGTAGATTAGATAGATAGATAGATAGATAGATAGATCGATCGATAGATAGATAAGCTAGATAGATAGATAGATAGATAGATAGATAGATAGATAGATAGATAGATAGATATTAGATAGATAGATAGATAGATAGATTAGATTAGATTAGATTCGATTCGATTCGATTCGATTCGATTAGATTAGATTAGATAAGATAAGATAAGATAGATAGGATAAGATAAGATAAGATAGATAAGTTAAGATAGGTAGGTAGATAGATAGATAGAAGATAGATACATAGAAAGAGTGATAGGTAGATAAATAGATAGATAGATAGATAGATAGATAGATAGATAGATAGATAGACACATAGATAGATAGATAGACACATAGATACATAGATACATAGATACATAGGCACATAGGTACATAGATGCAAAGATAGATAGATAGATAGATAGATAGATAGATAGATAGATGGATGGATAGATAGATAGATAAGAGAAGATAAGATAAGATAAGAGAAGATAAGATAAGATAAGGTAAGAAAAGAAAAGATAAGATAGATAGATAGATAGTTTAGATTAGATTAGATAAGATAGATAGATAGGATAAGATAAGATAAGATAGATAAGTTAAGATAGGTAGGTAGATAGATAGATAGATAAATAGATAGAGAGATAGATAGATAAATAGATAGATAGATAGATAGAAAGATAGATAGATACATAGATACATAGATACATAGGTACATAGATGCATAGATAGATAGATAGATAGCTAGATAGATAGATAGATAGGTAGGTAGGTAGATAGATAGATAGTTAGATAGATAGATAGACAGATAGACAGATAGACAGATAGACAGATAGACAGACAGACAGATAGACAGACAGACAGACACAGACAGACAGACAGACAGACAGACAGACAGATAGATAGGCAGAGAGGCAGAGAGGCAGAGAGGCAGAGAGGCAGAGAGGCAGAGAGACAGAGAGACAGAGAGACAGAGAGACAGAGAGACAGAGAGACAGAGAGACAGGGAGACAGAGAGACAGAGAGACAGAGAGACAGAGAGACAGAGAGACAGAGAGACAGAGAGACAGAGAGACAGAGAGACAGAGAGACAGAGAGACAGACAGACAGACAGACAGAGAGAGAGAGAGAGAGTGAGAGAGAGAGAGATGGATACATAGATAGATAGGTAGGTAGGTAGGTAGAAAGGTAGGTAGACAGTCAGAGAAAGAGAAAGAAAGAGAGAGAGAAAGAGAGGAGACCTCAACCACCTGTCGGTCCATCAGTGGCTTCGCTCTGACATCCGTGACTCACAACAACCAACCTCTCCTATAGGTTTCCTATTCTTTAAACTTCCGCCACTGCCTTGTGCGGTACTACTGGTAATTATAAGAAACTGTTGGGTGATGTTGGGTGTGTATAAACAGGTCCGTCTTTATCAAATGGACATGCCCGAGGCCAAAAACAAATCGACAAAATTTGCTTGATAGGGGGCCCAAGGCCTACCATTCATTCTGAGGGAAATTTCAAACAGGATAATCGTTCAACATGGATGTGCAAAAGCCTAGTGCAAACATGCGCACACCTAGCAGAAACATGAGCAAACCTAGCGGATTTGCCAGCGCTGCCTCACCTCATAGCGAGGCAAAAACATTTGATCCACCACATGAACACATTTGACATATATATTATATATATATATACATCATATAGGCCACTAGAGCCTCTAGAATTTATATAGGCTTCATGTAAGGCTGCAACAGGGAGCGAATGCCAACATTATCAACATTGTTTGCTGTCTTATTCCCACACCACAGCCAAACAATAAAATAGACCGGCCGCCAGATCGACTGGTATATCAGACACCATGTCGCCTGAATCTCTTCCTCATCCTCCACAACACCAGGTAGTGCGGCAGTTTGCGCGGGCGGCTGCACCGCTTTGCGTTTGGCTTTGGCCGCATCCTTGAATTTACCATCAGGGACCATCCAATTCTGGGCGGATTCCCCTGTGGATTTAGCAATCGGTTCCCCTGTCAACCATAGGGCCATGGGGGGTTAGCTATTGAACATCGCCCACTTATAGTCGATTTACCTACTAAAAGCGGTGTGTTATAATTTCATAGCTGTGGAAATTTACCAGAGGGTACATAGCTGGGAGATGAACCAAACACACCAGTGCACATCAGCCTTAGCCACTGGAGCTGCATTGCTGCAGTGAAAAAACCCAACAAACTGCCCTGCCAGCAAGAAATCTCCGGGAGAAGTCCATTGTCGTCCACCCCGCCTCATCATCCTCATCCTTATCCTTCTCCGCTCCATGCAGGAAAGTTCGAAAGGATTGCCGTATCGCAGGTTGAAAGGCCTCGAGCTGCCCCAAAAGATACCGTTGCTGGCTTTGGTGCTTGGCCAAGCTATATATCGCCCCAGGACAAGCATGAGATTTCCCGAAAACATCTCAAAACTCTGAAAACAAATTTGACATGCTTGAACCGCTGGAGTTGCCTTCCAAAGCCTCAAGTTGTTACGAAGTCAGCTTTAAACATCTTTCGACCGACATGTTGACCCATGCCCATGCATGACTAATGTTGATCTTGATCCAAGATATCTAAGTGACTTTTATATAGATACTCTTGAGTTAGTTTTAGATGCCGTCAGATTCTCTGTTAGATACCTTTTGGATACTCTATGATACGTCCATCTCGGATCATGGAACGCATGATTCAGAAATCTGTTGTGGCTTACACTTTGTTCATATTTTTGGCTCAAAAAACAGGCAATGTTATCACAGGTGAGTAACATAATAACAGATCAATACAGATAAAAACAAGTTCTGAAGGGGGGTTCCCCGCCATTGGTAGATCATTCTCCGAACAGGGAACCATGGCTTTTCCACCACGAATCTATGGTGCCAAGGAGGAGCCTCATCGGTTAGCCCTATGAAAACGGAAGGATGACCATCCCCAACATGGTTTTGTCTTAGCCAACTTTTGACCTTAAAACATGAACATGTCCTTATCCATGTGTATATCTATATGTATATGCACTACCCTAGATGGGCCTGTACCCAAAAAAATAAGATGTACATATGTTGCAGCATTTAATTCTACATATGTTTGATGCATTTGTGACACAAAGCTCAAAGCTCTGCATTTGTTTGCATTTGTTGTTGCATTTGTTTGCATGTGTTGTTGCAGTGGTTTGCATTTGTTGTTGCATGTGTTGTGGCATTTATTTGCATTTGTTGTGGCATTTGTTTGCATTTGTTGTGACATTTGTTTGCATTTGTTGCGGCATTTGTTTTAATTTGTTCCACAATGTTCTACATATGTGTTTGGCCGGTCGAACACTACCTCCTCGTGGTGCCGGCGGGCCAGGGCGATTTTGTCCATCTCCCTGGTACTGATGAGTGTGTGGAAACCATTTTGGGAAAAAGTGCAATGTCAAATTTGCAGCTGTGTTTGCAGAAAACCCAAAACCAAATTCAAAATGAATGAGCATTGCATAAAAAGTCCGTTGTGCAGTGGGCCCTTCCCACTCCTTTGCAAACGCTTTGTGTTTTTGCTCTGTGCAATGCTGTGTGTGTGTGTGCCACAGTAGGGCCGAACATTCCTTACCTCTCTCTTCTCATTTTGCGTTTGATTTGAGTGATGTTGCGAGTGTCCGGATTTTCGATGCAAGCAATTCTGCTGACCTCAGCAATATACGAAATAGTTGCCATCCAATGACAGACGTGACAAGCTGGGATGACACTGATGAAAGATTGACAGAAAGCAAAGCTTGGTTCAGCCAGGCAATGATGAAAGACAGAACTTCATCAGACAAGAGAGACCCAAGGGTCAACGCAGTGATGCACAGAACAAGTTGGGAACAGAATTTCTTGATTTTTTCCGATTTTTCCCTCCTCCCTGCCTCATGTGGCTTTTTCACTCCAGCTCTTGCATTGACAAAGATGGAAAGAAAGTCAAGCTTAAGAAGCGGAAACAACATGTTTTTCGACCAAAAGCCAAGCAAAAGCAAAAATGCAGATCTTTGGGAGTCTGCCACCGCATTGCTGGCAGAAGATACCAAGTCAAAGTACGCAAGTACAGAATGAAAGGAAAAATCAAAAGGTGGCGCGTGTTGCTTCGACTCCGGCAAATCAGACGGATGCTCACAAGAAGAAACAAAACAGCAGCCAAATCAGTGAAACCCTCGACTAATTTTTCCAAGTTAGTCAAATGGGTATGTGGATACCTGGGAGTCCGGGTGGGTGAGGCAAGCCACCCAGGACCAGCCCAGGGAAACAAAAGAAAAGCTGAAAGTGATCCAGAATATGTCAAGAGCAACGTTGACGCAAGTTTAGCGCATGCCCTGCTCAATGTCTTGCAACAGTTCCAGGGACACTCGGCAATGCAACCAGCTCAAAAGAGTCCTCCGGCAAAGAAAGGCAAAGGAGGTCCCACACCTGTGCTGCAAAGATCTCAGCTCGCCCGTGTCCTTGGGCAGACTCTCCAAGCAGCCTTGTCACAAGGTTGGACCGATCAACAAGTCGCTCAGAGATTGATCAACAAAATCAACTGACATGTTCCAATAAAGGAAATGAATGTTGCTGATTCATCCTCCGTGCTGAAGGAGCCAAACAATCACCTCTCCAATACAAAGAAAGTCTTGGGAGAACGATTGTTTACACGCATTGAGCCAGCTGCGAAACAAAATGCCGGCAAAGTTACTGGCATGATCCTTGAAATGCCTGTCAAAGCAATCAAGGGTCTTCTGGCAGATGAAGCTGCCCTCCAAGCCAAAGTCCATGAAGCACTTGCTACGCTCACTCGCCCTAAGCAAGACACATGGGCCAATGTTGTTCGGGAAACAACGACTCCCAAGCCCATGGCCAAAAGCAAAGGCAAGGGCAAACAAGCCACTGAGAGCCGTGCTGCGCAATTCGCTCTGCAGACTCACTGGTAAGCAGCCAGATCCAAAACAGCAACGCTTGCCAAAGAACAGTGATGGCAGTGCAGAAGACTTACGTTGGGTGTGCCGCTTGTGCTCCACTGTAGTCACTTGTAGTCACTGGCACCGACACTCGAATGCTCAATTGGAGGCGCCTAAACCATTTTAACCGAATCACCAAAAAACTGATTCGGATAAATTTGTCAAGTTTAAGCCAAGTCCTGTGATTGCCTCACACGATATTCCAGCCCATGCCAGAGACTGGGAATGCCCATTTTGCAGAAAAAGATTGCCTCAGTGTGACACTCCGCGCATACGAGCCATTTCTATTCGACATCATTGGAAAACAGCTCATCCCAATGAAGATACCTCATGTGCAGCAGTGCACTCGAACAGGAAAGAAAACCGCCGTGAAAATCCGGACGCAGAACCGGCCCTCACAGCAGGTAACAAGAAAAAAGCTGCCAATATGTCAAAAGACACGCTGCTAAACGTGACTTGTCTAGAAGTGGCCACTCCCTTGTGCCTTTCGAGCCACATTGGCCCACTTGGACTTCGTACCTTGTTGATACGTCAAACCAAGCAGGCCCTTTCTTCACTTGCACTGACTGCTGGAGATTTGGGCATTACCGAGTTTTTGCTATCCAATGCCGTGTAGTCAAAGTTTGTTTCAAATGGAGACTTTGGGATGACACCAACCGTCAAATTTTGACAAAGCTGTGGAACACTTCGCTTGCCAAGGCCAACCAATACTTTGGAGTTGAAGAAGAACCACCTTCCAATCAAGAACTCAGCTTAGCTATGGCCAAGCAAAAGCGTTTGGTAGAACAAGGGGTCGAACCCAATACTGGTCCAAATGCCAGCAGAAGAAATCAGGAGCATGGCGCGCACTGGAACATTATGGGGATACGGCCAAAGTTCTCCTTTTACAAGACACCCCGTTCACCGAGAACGAATTTGTTGCTTTCCAACGATCTGCCAAGAGAAAACATTACCGCACCTATTGGCAACCTGGAAAAGTGCACCCCAGCAGTCGCCGTACAGGAGGAGTCACAACCTTGGTCCCTTCTTCCTTGAGCCAGCAGCCTGTTGCTCCACCTCAGGATCTGCCAGCAGTTGTGTATCTGATGATCACTCACATCCATGATTACGCTGTGCTAAACTTCTATGCATCGCCTGGGTGTGGAAAAGACATGGCCGAACTATTGACCGCCACCTTCATTTCTCATAAGCTTGGCGGTTATCCGTGGGTCGCGGCCGGTGATGCCAATGAAGAACCCAACCATCACATTGCTGCTAGTTTCACGCAATTTGAAGGGCATGTTTTCAGCTCGGGACTTGCCACGCGTTTCAAAGGCAAAAAAGAGCTAGACTGGTTCAGTACCAGCAGACCCCAAACTTGTGGTCAAGTCACCGTGCACAATTCCATCAAAATCTCAGACCACAAACTGGTTGCTATGCGAGTTCGAACAAGCACTCAGCCCGCAACACGTTTCAGATACCCAGAGCATCCTCGGTGGAATAAACCGTCCTTTCTCACGCCGGAACAATGGCAGTCACTTTTGCAAGTGGCATGGCAAAAGAACGCAGAGCAGCCTTCTCCTAATTTACTTTATTTGCGCCCTACGGACGTTGATGTAAATTTGGAATGGGTCAATTTCATGCATCTTCTTAATGACACCTACAAAAATGCTACCATGATAGCCGCAGATCGGACCTCGGACCCAGCAGTCCAGAGCACTCTCAAACAAAACGGTATCAAAACGGGCAAAGGAATCCAATGCCCCAAAGTCCAAAAAGTGAGCAATTCTCTTCATGTGGCAGGTCATCACAGACCCGACATGGCAGATCGGCCTGATTACGTGAATTTGATCGTTTAGTTCAAAAAAGTATCAAGCAGCCCAGTTCATTTATGATCACTGGTGTGATGTATGGAGCGAACAGGGTGGGCCAGCGCCTGAAGAAATCGCCACTCAGCTAGCTTCCGCCTTTCCCACAGCCGAAGATCCACAGCAGGGCGGCCCCAGACATGGCCACTGTCACAAAGGCCTTGTATGATGCCAGGGGAGCCGCTCGCTGTGATGGCTGGTCATCCGTAGAAACTCCGTATCAAGCTGCCCAACATTTCTATCGACTCATGGTCAGATGGTATCATGTTGCGGCGGTGCCTGCCAGTTTTGAGTAAGTGAACCTTCACAAACCCAACAAAATTAGAAATTTCCAGATCGAAGCTGCACACACAAGACGAATCACTGTGTTTTCCATCTTCTGGCGGGCCTACGCCACCGCTTGGATGCAAACGGCAGATTTCAAAAACTATGCCACAACGCTTCCAGCTGATATCTCTGGTGTCTTCCAACATGAAGGCAGCGGAGAAGCGGCTACGATTTTACAACAACACTGGACAATCCATGGAGGCGTCATGATCTCTTTAGATTACAGCCAAAGCTACGACAGAATGAATGTCCAAGCAACTCTTGATTTCCTGCAACGCATTCACTGGCCTCCAGCCTTGCTAAGTCAAACGCGACAAGTGTGGAAGACCAAGAGGTACCTTGAATATGACAACCATGTGCATCCTCAGATTCTGGTCAGCTCCGGAGTCCCTCAGGGCTGTCCCATCGCACCTCTCACATTAGCTACTTGGATGAGCAGCGGAGCCACAGCCGTTCAAAGCTTAATGCAATCCGAGGCCAATGTCACTGCAGAGGCCGCTAGACAAGCGGTCACACGCATCTATATGGATGACAGATCCTGGATCGACAGCAATTATGACAGGGCACTGCAGCGTGCCACCCAATGGCACACGTGGAGTGCCAGAGTAGGATTACGCGAAAGCCTGGAAAAAATCCAAGCTTGTGCAAAGCCATCTCGCCTTCAGGACATCTTGCGCCAAGACAGACCTGACTGGACCATCCAGGACACAGTCAAGGTGCTCGGGGTCTCATTGCGTCCCAAACGCATGGCCAATACTCGGCTTGAGCAGGGTCGACTTCACAGCAGTTTACGCAGAGCCAAAATCCTTAGCTGCTTGCCGGTTCCTTATCACAGGAAAACTGAACTTTACTGTATGTTTGTGGTTCCCAAAGCCCTCTACGGGTGGATTGTTCGTTTCCCGACCAAAGCTGATTCGAATAAAATCTTCAATGCCCTGTCCCGAATGACGGGTACAAATCGCATGGCCAACCCTCTTATTCGATCCATCATCTATGGAGGAGCTTGCCATTTGCAGATTCTTCTTGCAATCCGCCTCTTCAAATGCTTGTGCAGAATGCGTTGCAGAGGCACGGCGGTGTGGACGAATGTTCCGGGCACACCTTCCAGAAAGTTTCGTGACTGGCTCAAAGATTGGGGCTGGCGAGAAATTTCACCCTGGAATTGGCAACGCAATGCTCATACTCTTCGTGTCCCTGAGCACGCCGAAGTGGATGCATATTGCCATCAGATTCGCATGGCCTGGCGACACGAGCTGCTCAGAAAGTGAACCGCTGACAAGCCCCAAGAAGCAGAGGAGTGGCGTCGCCTTACGTCACCGTTGCAAATGAAAACAGAGATGGAAAATGTTGATCTCGAAGCAGTTCGTCGCATTCTCATGACCTCTGAAGCCTCCAGGGCAGCGTCGTTTCTCCGGCATGGATGGGCAGAGCGCATGCTGATGAAGACCCTCTTTGCCCTTGGCGCACTAGAACCGGGAATTTTCTGCACATTGCTTGGCAATGCAGAGCATTTCCGCTTTCGGCCAGCAGGCCCATCAAACCATCCTCTTGGCTGCTGTCTCGATTTGGATGGCCTCAGACTTCTACGAGTTCTCATCAGCAAAAATCATTTTGCGCTGGTTGGCTTCAGTGCAAGACCAGATTTGGCTGGTGAGGCACGGTTCCTGCAGAACTTCTGGTGACCCAGTGGCCCAGTGAGGGCCTGGAATGGTGCTGTAACGTCTCAAGGGTTGCAGCATCATGATCAACACAGCATTTTTCTACATATGTGTTTGCAAATGTATATACTGACACAAACCGTAAATAATGGAACACTCAAGCATATACGTAATAAATGTTAAGTGTATATGTAAGCATATCTGTAAATAATACATGCATCAACAAATGCATAAAGTCTTATTTTGTGAAAATAAAGTCTTATTTAGTGTAATGGCATAAAATAAGATCTCATTTTCACAATATAAGATCTTATGCATTTGTTGTTGCATATGGGGGCATGTATCTATGCATGTCTGAATGCATGCGTTTGCATTTGTTGTGGGGTAAGGTGTATGTGTTACGACAAAATACGGTCCAATAAAAGCACATCTGTCGAGCCTGCACCATATATGTAACCACAAATGTCGAGCGAGTAAGGGTAAATGCAAAGACATATGACGAAATGTTGAACACCCAAAAGAAATGAAAGCGTGTATGTTTGTTAACGTCGGTACAAACGTCCAATAAATGCAAAAGAAATGCAGTAATTACATGCACGTATGCCTCCGTAAGGTGTCTATAGGGAAGGCCTTCAAAGAACTTTTGGATTAAGCTAATGTATATGATATATCTGTACAATTTATCATATTTCGCAGGTCGTCCCTTATTTCGAATAATCGTACAGCTACGTCGTCTGATTTAAAGTTACTTTAAGTCGGCCTAATACGACAAACTAAGATTTTTTCGGTTGTTTGAGCTTTACCGCTTTAGACTGGTACCTGAACTGGATTTTTCCAGCCGTAGCTGCCCACAGAAGAGCTAGAAAATAAAGGAACTTGCTTCTGAACACGCTGAAAACCTCAGTTTCCTATTTTGAAAAGCTAGGATCTTTTTGGGCTGCCCAAGCTTTGCCGCTTTAGACCTCAGTTTCCTAGTTTTTCTTTTTGGATGCCCAAGCCGTTTAGACCGTTTTTCCCAGCCGTACCTACCCACAGAAAAGCCCGAAAATAAGGGAACTTGCTTCTGAACACGCTGAAAACCTCAGTTTCCTAGATTGAACAACTAGGATCTTTTGGGCTGCCCAAGCTTTGCCGCTTTAGACCGATTTTTCCAGCCGTAGCTGCCCATAGAAAAGCTGGAAAGAAGGGAACTTGCTTCTGAACGCGCTGAAAGCCTCAGTTTCCTAGATTGAACAACTAGGATCTTTTGGGCTGCCCAAGCTTTGCCGCTTTAGACCGATTTTTACAGCCGTAGCTGCCCATAGAAAAGCTGGAAAGAAGGGAACTTGCTTCTGAACGCGCTGAAAACCTCAGTTTCATTGACTGAACAACTAGGATCTTTTGGGCTGCCCAAGCTTTGCCGCTTTAGACCGATTTTTCCAGCCGTAGCTGCGCATAGAAAAGCTGGAAAGAAGGGAACTTGCTTCTGAACGCGCTGAAAACCTCAGTTTCCTAGATTGAACAACTAGGATCTTTTGGGCTGCCCAAGCTTTGCCGCTTTAGACCGATTTTTACAGCCGTAGCTGCCCATAGAAAAGCTGGAAAGAAGGGAACTTGCTTCTGAACGCGCTGAAAACCTCAGTTTCCTAGATTGAACAACTAGGATCTTTTGGGCTGCCCAAGCTTTGCCGCTTTAGACCGATTTTTACAGCCGTAGCTGCCCATAGAAAAGCTGGAAAGAAGGGAACTTGCTTCTGAACGCGCTAAAAGCCTCAGTTTCCTAGATTGAACAACTAGGATCTTTTGGGCTGCCCAAGCTTTGCCGCTTTAGACCGATCTTTCCAGCCGTAGCTGCCCATAGAAAAGCTAAAAAAACAGGGAACTTGCTTCTGAACACGCTGAAATCATCAGTTTCCTAGTGGGAAAAAATAGGATCTTTTGGGCTGCCCAGACCAATTTTTTCCAGCCGTAGCTGCCCATAGAAAAGCGGGGAAATAAGGGAACTTGCTTCTGAACGCGCTCCTAGTTTGAAAAGCTAGGATCTTCTTGGCTGCCCAAGCTTTGCCGCTTTAGACCGTTTTGCCAGCCGTAGCTGCCCATAGAAAAGCCCGAAAATACTGGACACGCTGAAAACCTCAGTTTCCTAGGTTGAAAAACTAGGATCTTTTGGGCTGGCCAAGCTTTAGACCGATTTTTCCAGCCGGATGAGCTTATTTCTGAGGCTAGGTCGTTATTCAGGGGTGACGTCGGTGACGTCGTTTTAAATTGTCCAGATATATGTATATGTGTATGTATCTATCATTCTATCTATCCATCTATCTTTCTATCCATCCATCCATCCATTTATTTATCTCTCTCTCTCTCTCCCCCTCTCGCTCTTTCTCTCTCTGTCTCTCTCTCTCTCTCTACTGTATTTCTATATATTGCAATTTTTTCAGGGCTTGTTGAAGCTAAACATGCACCCGTGAAGAGTAGAAGCGGAACAGTGTCCTCTGCTGTGGGTTCTCGCATTTGTTGATGAAAATGACTTCTATATGGCAAGCCCAAAAATCAATCATTGCAAACCATCCCAATCTCACCAAATATCAATGGAATAAAACATCCCCAAACATTGTTCTGGGATGCTGATGCTTGGGGATTATTACCTTCACCGCCTCAGATTTTTCCTCGCGATCTTGCCACAGTCCTGCCTTAAAAAAAAATGCCACACTGCGCCAAGGGGCCATCACAATCAATTGTCCCCCGGCAACAGACATGTGGAATACAGATATGCCTGGGAGTGTCACGGGTCTGAGAATGGGGTAAACCATGGCAAAAACACCATGCAAAAATGTGTGGTCTGGGGGAAAACTATGACATTAAAGGACCGGATAACCCCACAAGGCAACTTCTTCCAATAATGAGCACCACATGTTGTAGCGGGGACGGGGCAGGAAGGAAAGACAAAAGAGGTGGTGGAGGATCGAGAAGTAAAGCAAAGTTGTGTGTGTGTGTGACAAAGTTGTATGTGAAAGATGGTGTGTGACAAAGAAAGATGGTGTGTGTGTGTGTGACAAACTTGTGTGTGAAAGATGGTGTGTGCGAAAGTGGGTGTGAAAAAGAGAGTGTGACAAAGTTGTGTGCGAAAGATGGTGTGTGACAAAGTGGTGTGTGAAAGATGGTGTGGCGAAAGATGGTGTGTGACAAAGTTGCGTGTGAAAGATGGTGTGGTGAAAGATGGTGTGCGACAAAGTTGTATGTGAAAGATGGTGTGGTGAAAGTGGTGTGTGACAAAGTGGTGTGTGAAGGATGGTGTGGTGAAAGATGGTGTGAGACAAAGTGGTGTGTGAAAGATGGTGTGTGAAAGATGGTCTGTGACCTCGTGTGAAAGATCGTGTGTGACAAAGTGGTGTGAAAGATGGTGTGTCGCAGATGGTGTGTCAAAGATGGTGTGTGTGACAGAGTTGTGTGTGAAAAATGGCGTGCGACAAAGTGGTGTGTCAAAGATGGTGTGTGACAAAGCTGTGTGTGAAAGATGGTGTGTGACAAAGCTGTGTGTCAAAGATGGTGTTGGACAAAGATGGTGTGTGTGAAAGAGGGTGTGTGACAAAGTTGTGCGTCAAAGATGGTGTTGGGCAAAGATGGTGCGTGAAAGAGGGTGTGTCAAAGATGGTGTGCCAAAGATGGTGTGTGACAAAGTCGTGCGTGAAAGATGGTGTGTGACAAAGTCGTGTGTCAAAGATGGTGTGTGACAAAGTTGTGTGTGAAAGATGGTGCGGTGAAAGATGGTGTGCGACAAAGTTGTATGTGAAAGATGGTGTGGTGAAAGTGGTGTGTGACAAAGTTTTGTGTGGAAGATGTTGTGTGACAAAGATGGTGTGTGAAAAAAATGGTGTGTGACAACTGGTGTGTGAAAGATGGTGTGTCAAAGATGGTGGGTGACAATGTGGTGTGTGAAAGATGGTGTGTCAAAGATGGTGTGTGACAAAGTTGGGTGTGAAAGAGGGTGTGTGAAAGATGGTGTGTGACAGATGGTGTGTGACAAAGTGGTGTGTGAAAGAGGGTGTGTCAAAGATGGTGCCACGCTTGCCACGAAAAACGAAGGTAGATGTGACCAAGTGCCACGCCTGCCACGTGAAACGAAGGTGGATGTCACCAAGTGTTACGCCTGCCACGCAAAGTGCCGCGGCGTCACCGGCGACCAAGACCGCCCCAAGCGCGCCACCAGAGCCAGCCCAGTGCCGTAAGTGCCACGCCTGCCACGCAAAGCGCAGGTGGACGTCACCAAGTGCCACGCCTGCCACGCGAAACGAAGGTGCATGTCGCCAAGTGCCACGCCTGTGCCACGCCTGCCACTCAAAATACCGCACATGTGAAAGATGGTGTGTGACAAAGTTGTATGTGAAAGATGGTGTGTGTGAAAGATGGTGTGTGACAGATGGTGTGTGACAAATGGTGTGTGAAAGATGGTGGGTAACAAAGTTGTTTGTGAAAGATGGTGTGTGACAAAGTTGTGTGTGAAAGATGGTGTGTGACAATGTGTGAGAGGCGGAGGCGGCGGCGGAGGAGGAGGAAGAGGAGGCGGGATACAGAATCAAAAACAAGAACCCCACACAAAGATGTGGGGAAAAATGATTAATTTTCTGCAATCAAGACATTCATCAAGACCACAAATGGTTGATTTTTCCCAATTTTGGAGGGGCGATTTCAACTTTTAGACAAACCCTTATGACTCATGATGTGCTGCCATCACAAACTTGGGACTGGATGGTCAGTTCAATCATCCAATTCACTCAAAAGCAACTTGCAGTACTCAACTCACCACCCACTCATAAACTAGGTAACAGCGTCTGTAAGAGGCCGTGTCGGTGATGACATTGCACAGTGCCAGGACGATGAGGGAAGTGTCCAAAACTCTAGTAATTTAGACATTTTTATATTTCTGGAATAAATTTATGGTGCAAATCCCTTGGGATGGTGACTTCAAAAGTGGAAAATCTAGTGTTTTACAAGCACGAAGCTGGAGCAGCTGGAGTTTTGTTCGCCAAAAAAATTCGCCGGAAAGTTCCTTTTTTTGGAAGTGCAAGAGAACATCCAGCAGCGTAGCATGACGTATGTGTGGAAGTGCAAGAACACTTACCATGGAGTAGAAAACGAACAGAACGTTATTACCCCACCACCCCATGTTTTTGTTTTGGACTTCACCCTATCAGGGCATAGCATGAATACTGAGCACAGTTTACATATGCTGCCAAGGCTCAAGAAGAGATATAGAGGTATAGTTTGTAGTCTAGGCACCGCACTGACTGGCTATTGGCCGACAGAGGAAAACCAAGTGCGGCAGCCTGGGAGGACGCTCTAGCTGATCCTACAGGACGCTATTGCCCCTCTTCAAGTGGTAGCGGAGCTGTGATCCTTCATTGAAGGTGAGCTCCAGGTAGACACCGATATGGCAAGCCATGGCTATGATGATGACTTCAACATTTTCGATGCAGATGGATGGAATCAATATGACTCTTATGCAATGAGAAGAGCACCCCAGCAACCCTCAATTCATATGACGCAGCAGATGACCATGAAGGTAGCCCCTGCTTATGATGGAAGGACCAGTTTCTTTGCTTTCGAGGATGCAATTGATGATTGCAGAGCTAGAGCCTGAAACACGTAGACCTGCATTGAGGAACAGATTGGAAGGTGCAGCATCTCAGTACAAACGACTACTGAACAGAGAGTTATTGAGAGACCCCAACGATGGAGCGAACTATTTTAAAAGATTCTTGCGATCACATTTCATCAAGGGAGCCCAAGCAGTGTTCTTATATCGATTCATGCAGTTCATGAAGTACAACAGAGGCACAATGGATTTGCAAAAGTGGATGACTAGATTTCAACTTACTGGAAACAGAGTTGTTGAGTCTTGGATGGATCTCTTACCAGATTTGGAGCACCAGCCCAGAAGCAATCGCACATGTTGCACGATGTCGTCTTGAACATGAAGCTCGACAAGCTGAACTTGCAGGCATTGCAGCGGCGACTCCAGGACAAGAACAACATGTCAATGTACCCTGGACAGATGAGCATGCATTGGCGGCATTCAGGCAACTCAACACAGACAGAATGACACAACAGAGATTGGCCTTTCCCTTAGGCGACAACTTGTCAGCATTGATTTTTGTAAGTCTGGCAGGTTTGACGCAAGAGCAGAGGAACACACTCGCAAGTATCATGACACGTCGTGGAAGAACATTAGATGAGTACAATGTGCAAGAACTTAGAGATCAATTCTCGGAAATGTTTTGCAGTACGAAAACAGCAGCTGACAATCCTATGATGCAAGCCTCTGGCATTGGACAGAGAAGATCTTTCCTCGTTCTGGAAGAAGGTGAGCTAGAAGGAACCGACGGCTATTGGGCCGAAGATGATGAAGATGGCGCAGAAGGATTCCTGGATGCTTTAGAAGATGTTTTTTGAGTTTATGATGACGCTGAATTCACATGGTATCAGAGGGCAGAAAGACCAGACAGGGCAGAAAGACCAGACGAGGCAAAGGTAAAGGCAGAAGAAAGGGAAAAGGAGAAGGCAGAGGAGGAAGAAGATTCTTCAGATCAAGGAAAGGAAAAGGCCGAGTAAAAGGAAAAAGAAAAGGCCGCTCTCACATGGTGAGTGAAGAAGGATATGAAGAGGAATGGAATGAAGGAGATGAATGGAATGACACCTATGACGGCTATTGGGCCGACGATCAGGGTTGGAATGAAGGCTATTGCGCCTATGAAAATCTGTACTACCTAGATGAGTATGGATAGTTCCAGAAGAAAGGAAAAGGAAAAGGAAAGAAAGGCAAGAAAGGCAAGGATGATGAAGGCAAAGGAGGAAAACCAGGAGATAGAAAAGGAAAATCCAAGTACGTTCAACCTCAGACCTCACCGACTCCGGCCACACAGAACCATCATCATCAACAACAACAGCAGCAACAACAACAACAACAAGAGCAAGAACAAGAACAACAAGAACAACAAGGAAAACATGAACAACAAGAACAACAACCAACAGCCAACAACCAAGAACCAAGAACCAAGAATCAAGAACCAACAACCAACAACCAGCAACCAACAACCAACAACCAACAACCAACAACCAACAAACAACAAACAACAAACAACAAACAAACAACAAACAACAAACAACAAACAACAAACAAACAACAACAAACAACAACCAGCCAACAACAAACAACAACCAACCAACAACCAACAACCAACAACCAACAACCACAACAACAACAACAACAACAACAACAACAACAACAACAACAACAACAACAACCACAACCACAACCACAACCACAACCACAACCACAACCACAACCACCACAACCACAACCACAACCACAACAACAACCACAACAAGAAGAACAACAAGAACAACAAGCTCACTACTCTTCAGCAGCATCAAGCTCAGGGCATGGTCCAGCAGTGGATGTTTTGACAGCCACCTATGAAGAGCAAGAGCAGAAAAGACGCACTCGTCAAGGAGGACAAAACCAACGTGATGAAGTGGCACGGCAGAACAGAGAAGGAGCCAAGAGATTTCCTGTATTGGTTGGAGATCTTGATGCACTTCGTTCAGGTCTACGACATCGACCAGCACCAGTGCCCAGAGAAGTTGGTTTACAAGACAGTGAGGAAGCCGTTGGCAAAAGGCACGTCATTGTTTATGCGTGGATACTCTGAAAAGACAGAGACACCATCTCACTCTGAATGCTCTGAAGATAGAGGTATCAGGTGAGCAGAAAAGTGCTTTTTCATTTCAAATCACACAACCTGTTCAAGCATGTGAGAATGGACTAGCTTTTCATACAGAGAATTCAGCACCACCAACTGCAGGTATCCTTGACCTTGGATGCACAAGAGTTATGGGCTCTCGAAGGGCAGTTGAAGCTTTCTGCAAGGTGGGTCCTCATCTTCCTCAGCATGGGCATGGAGACCGAAAAACAGGTGAGTGTATACTTCTGAAGGAGAAGATAACACAAGATGATTTTGCTCTGTACAGCTTTTTGTTAGCTCATTCCTTTTTGCGCAAAATGGTATATACTCTTGCTGGAAGGGGATAATACCATTACTGTGTACAGGGTTTCGTCTTTTTTGTGATGATATATATATATATATATTCTTGTACATAGAGATAACATCACATTTGTCTCCATATATTTTCTGCCGGGCAAGTCGTTTTTGAAGCGAACGTTATACCAACTCCGAATTTTGTCCATTGTCCGCTTGCATGATCGACCTTGGAGGTCCGAATTTCATCCGTTTGTTTTGTGTTTCGGTCAATTGTTTTTCCATCTGACCTGAATTTCTGAATCTTGCAGCCAAGTTTGAGAAGGAACTTGTCACCGGTAGAGCATTTTGCCGTGATCGACCGTGCTTCCCGCACCATAGTCGAGAAAAATAATTCGCGAATCCGCTGCTTTTCACTTCGATGTGTCTTTAAGACATTTTGTCGCAATCAAATCCGCTAGCGCTCCGTCTTTGTATAGAATTCACTGCGCGCTATCCGCTGGTTTTGCTGATTAGCCAACGTGTAAACTAGTTTGCTTGCTAGAACTCTTACGCTCAATTGGGTACGACAAAAAGTGCTCAACTTATTGCCTTTGAATTTGTGCCTGTGTTATTGTTTTGGACTTCACCCTATCAGGACATAGCATGAGTACTGAGCACAGTTTACATACGCTGTCAAGGCTCAAGAGAGAGATACAGAGGTATAGCTTGTAGTCCAGGCACCGCACTGAGTGGCTATTGGCCGACAGAGGAAAACCAAGTGTGGCAGCCTGGGAATACGCTCTAGCTGATCCTAACAGGACGCTATTGCCCTTCTTCACCCCACCCCCAAAATGTCAAGACGCCAAAATATCAACACGCGCCTGGCCTCTGCTGGCGTTGACACCATAAACTACTCAAAAACCATTCGCTCAGTCAATATTAGCCAGTTCGTCAATCCATTGTTTCGTCATCATTTTCTTTGTGAAATGGCAAATTAAGATGGCTATACCCTGATCGCTACACCCTCCAATCGGCCCCGGCCTTTCCATTCGGCCAGGTCATAGATCACGCCTCCGGCCGTCGCCTCAGTGGCGAAGGCAGGATTGTACAAACGGTCCAGAAACGTGTTCCTGACCTTTGGTGGAAGTCATGTCACCTTGGGAAAGAATGTCTACCATAAATGGGCATAATATACATATCTATATAGTCCTTGTTAATTTTGTCCATGGCACATATTGTATATATATATATATTATATATTGGTTTATCTATGTATTTATTTATCTTTTTATTTATTTCAATTAAAGGACCGGATAACGCCACAAGCCAACTTCTTCCAATAATGAGCAACAAATGTTGTAGCGGAAACGGGGAAGGAAGGAAAGACAAAGGAGGAGGTCGAGGAAAGGTGGTGTTGGACAAAGTTGTGTGTGTGTGAAAGATGGTGTGGTGAAAGATGGTGTGAAAGATGGTGTGTGAGAAAGATGGTGTGTGGAAGATGGTGTGTGACAAAGTGGTGTGAAAGATGATGTGTGTCAAAGATGGTGTGTGACAAAGTGGTGTGACAAAGTGGTGTGACAAAGATGATGTGTGAAAGATGGTGTGACAAAGTTGTGTGTGAAAGATGGTGTGTGACAAAAATGGTGTGTCAAAGATGGTGTGTGAAGATGGTGTGTGAAAGATGATGTGTGAAAGATGGTGTGAGACAAAATGGTGTGACAAAGATGGTGTGTGAAAGATGATGTGTGTGGAAGATGGTGTGTGACAAAGTGGTGTGTGAAAGATGACGTGTGTGAAAGATGGTGTGTGTGAAAGATGGTGGGTGACAACGCGGTGTGTGAAAGATGGTGTGTGAAAGATGGTGTCTGACGAAGTGGTGTGTCAAAGATGGTGTGTGACAAAGTTGTGTGTGAAAGATGGTGTGTGAGAAAGATGGTGTGTGAAAGATGGCGTGTGACAAAGTGGTGTGTCAAAGTGACGCTGTGGACAAGTTGTGTGTGGGTAAGTTGTGCGGCTCCAAGTGCCACGCCTGCCACGCAAAGTGACGGTCGATGTCAAAAGGCCACACCTGCCACGCAAAGTGAAGGTGGATGTCACTAGGTGCCACGCCTGCCACGCAAAAAGCCGCGGCGTCCACGGCGTCATCTGGGAACCCGGTGCGCCACCAGAGCCAGCCCAGTGCCATCACTGCCACGCCTGCCACGCAAAGTGACGGTCGATGTCACCAAGTGCCACGCCTGCCACGCAAAGTGAAGGTCGATGTCACTAAGTGCCACGCCTGCCACGCAGAAAGCCGCGGCGTCCACGGCGTCATCTGGGAACCCGGTGCGCCACCAGAGCCAGCCCAATGCCATCAGTGCCACGCCTGCCACGATGTCACCAATTGCCACGCCTGGGACAAGTTGTGTGTGAGCAAGCTGTGTGTGAACAAGTTGTGGGCAAGTTGTGTGTGGAGGAATTTGTGTGTGAGCAAGTTGTGTGTGGAGGAGTTGTGTGTGGACAAGTTGTGTGTGGAGGAATTTGTGTGTGGACAAGTTGTGTGCGGAGGAATCTGCGTGTGGAGGAGTTGTGTGTGAGCAAGTTGTGTGGGAGCAAGTTGTGTGTGGACAAGTTGTGTGTGGAGGAATTTGTGTGTGAGCAAGTTGTGTGTGGACAAGTTGTGTGTGAAGGAATTGTGTGTGGACAAGTTGTGTGTGGAGGAGTTGTGTGTGGAGGAGTTGTGTGTGGACAAGTTGTGTGTGGAGGAACTTGTGTGTGAGCAAGTTGTGTGCGGAGGAATTTGTGTGTGTGAGCAAATTGTGTGTGGACAAGTTGTGTGTGAAGGAATTGTGTGTGGACAAGTTGTGTGTGGACAAGTTGTGTGTGGAGGAATTTGTATGTGAGCAAGTTGTGTGTGTGGACAAGTTGTGTGTGAAGGAGTTGTGTGTGGACAAGTTGTGTGTGGAGGAGTTGTGTGTGTGAGCAAGTTGTGTGTGGCGGAGTTGTGTGTGAGCAAGTTGTGTGTGGAGGAGTTGTGTGTGGACAAGTTGTGTGTGGAGGAATTTGTGTGTGAGCAAGTTGTGTGTGGACAAGTTGTGTGTGAAGGAGTTGTGTGTGGACAAGTTGTGTGTGGAGGAGTTGTGTGTGAGCAAGTTGTGTGTGGAGGAGTTGTGTGTGGACAAGTTGTGTGTGGAGGAATTTGTGTGTGTGAAGGAGTTGTGTGTGGACAAGTTGTGTGTGAAGGAGTTGTGTGTGAGCAAGTTTTGTGTGGGCAACAAGTTGTAGTGGAGGAGGAGGTGGGAGGAGGAGGCGGGAGGAGGGCGGAGGAGGGCCAGAGGAGGAGGCGGGAGTGCAGAACCAAAAACAAGAACCCCACACAAAAATGTAGGGAAAAAGAAAATACATTAATCGGATACCCCAATATATATTGCATGCCATTTTTGATGGTAATAAACCATAGGAGTTTTGGGCTCTCCAATTTTCAGATTATGAGATGCCGGGTCTTTTTCTTGCTACTGTGGATGCAAGAAGCCCCTTTACCAGTTGGTAACTATTGGGCTTCCTATGAAATAGTGTAAATATATAGTGGGATTACAACAGAACGCGTGCCATCTACCAATTGGATCCAATTGGTGCGGGATTTGTTCCATCCACAATATGTTTGATTGATGGTTTTTGGATTGGTTGATTCACAGATTTGGAGCAGGCTTTCCAAAGGATTGACTGGACTCGACCATACAAGTACATACGAATGTGATCACATGTACCCCAAAAGCAGCCCTCCAGAATGCAACGTTAAAACTTCATGTTCGAAGCAGTGTGTCAAAACGTGTCAAAGCGTGTCAAAACTTGTGTCAAAACGAGCCCGTGAGATTGTGAGGTGATTACAGAGCAAATGGGGTGAGATAGTCTGATTTGTAAGTCAATTATGTGATGGTAAGTCAATTATGTGATGAATGACTTGGAAGTTTCTCTTTAAAACAATCAAAATGATGGCTTTCAAAGAGAGGGTTTGAGGGTATGGTATCAATCATGCAGGTTTGTTGACCGCACCAAACTGTCACTGCTGCCTCCACATGTCATTTACCTTGATTCTTGATGAACTGCAAAACGTCAAATGGCCAACCCTAGGAACAGAACTGTACAAGTTGACGGTTTTATCATTATGAAGAGTTATTACCCAACAAGTTGTTGTTGCCTTATAGCTATGAAAAACAAACTTATCTAGTCATAGCAAAAAAAAAGGAGCCATGGGTGACTCCTAGCCTTGCCATTTGTCCGTGAGGGGATGCAGATCTGAGGGACAGCAAGTGCCATGGCAATGGTGAAGCTTGACAAAACCGTCGACTGGGCTTGGCTGACAATGGCCTAGCGCCAGGGGGATACTACAGATACCCCTTCTGGGAGAAAGTATCGGAAAATGATGGGAAAATCCTGAAAAATAGTAAGATTTAATGGGATATTTCATGGATCATGGATGATGTTGGAACATGGGGGGGGCTACTTCGTATAGCCCTCCCAAGCCCAATGGCAAGTTGTTGTCGTGATTACTGGATTTTGAGGAGCCCTCTTAAGAGATCTGACATGTTTGACATCTCTGGACCAGTTTCAACACTCAATGAAAAGTCCATGACATTGAAGGATAGATGATCTATGAATCTATGATACATAAGAATGAAAATCTATGATAGTTCAACAATACTATGATACTCTACGATACATGATAGTGAATGGGTCGATTTTCATGGGCTGACGACTGTTTTTTCACTCTGGGGCAGCCGCCTCTGAGTCTGAAAAATTGTCAAAGACGATGCCTTCCTTAGTGGTTTCGGAAAGCCATCATGGCTGCACATCTAGGCAGGTGTATACCCGTCCATTTGCAATTTTAGTGGCGGTTTCAATGGTGGTCAACCTCATGACACAAATTACGTCAAGTGTGTGAACTAAGCATATGCTATACATGTGAGCCATCTCTGCCCTCTTTCAGTCCCCTGAGCCATATCGTCTTGGCCAACCATGATGGACAGATGGCTCTTTTTTTGCAAAAAAACATCAATTCATCCCTGAACGATCCGCCGATTCCAGCACCCAATCAACTGCAAGATGCAAAAGCCACAGTCACGTCACACGCAATGAGCACCCCCGCTTGGCAGAAAATGATGACCGCCTCACCACCACTGGGGAAATCCTCTGGGGAACTTCTGGCAACCTTTCAACCTTGTCAGATCTTGTCAGTGACGGTCAGGTGGACCAAATGCTGTGACTGGTCATGGTTGGGGCAGCTGAGTAGTGGTCATTATAGATGATGATAGTGGTCATAGCAGTTGAACAAAGCATCAGAGCCATTGGAAAGCCCCGAAAAGGCCCAGACATGGTGGCGCGTCTTCCACCCCAACTGGCCCCAGCGGGCCTGATCCGAATATATGTATGCCAATGTGGCAGCCGTGGTTTGCAAGGCAGCCTGGGCCGTATGGAATTGGAACGTATGTATGTAGGTATGTATGTATGTATGTATGGCACTCATATTGGAATAGATTGGAATCCTTCACAGTCAAACGCCATGGTCCTGAACGTGACATGAATAAGCTTTGGGTGAAAGGAGATGATGAATTTTCTGATTTATCTCATCGCCCCGTTAAATGGATCATAGCCTCCACCGGTCATCCTGTGACGCATATGGGTTCACAACTCATCCCTATGAGTTGTGCAGATTTTAGATGAACCTTCGCAACTGCTGGCGATTTTTCAGCCACTAAAACTGGACGAATCATGTACTAAAGTTGGACCAAGTAACAAAGCAAACACATGTCCAGATTCCCGCCCGGAAGATGACCTTGGGAATCACCAGCACGTAACATGCCATCGGTTTTTCTCTCCCCATTCACCTGAAATATGGATATCTAACGTCATTCTATATTATCTCTATGAGAATGGAGAGAGAGATTTATATTATATGTTGATATATTGCTTACACACTATGCACGATGATATTGTATACATGTCTATTGCACTTCTATTGCAATACTGTGACTACTCGGTCATCAGTTACCATCACCGTTGCCACAATCATTGTAATCCTTGCAGACACCACCGCCTCCATCAGTGTCACCGGTGGTCGCTCTCATCCTCATGTTTGTTGGCTTATTGTCAGTGTTCTACATCTTGCCAGCACCAGTCTCAGTATCAAAAGCGCCGCAAGCTGTCCGCTGCATTGGCGCATTAAAGATCCAATTTGCCTGCCCCAAGAAATTCCTGCCAAAGGTGGCCAAACTCCCCTAGCGATCCCATGCCATCCCCTCATTCTTTCCAAGCATCCTGCTGTGTGAATAAGCGGGTGAAGGAACCAATGGACACACCCAAGCCCCCTTGGGCCAGGTCCCATCCCATCTTCCGGATATAGAGACCAAATGCTGACCAGCCCTTAGGGCACAAATGGATGGAAGATGATGGAAGCTCAAAGCCACTAATGGTCAATGGTGCCCTTCATTAGAGTCGTGTTTCCCTACGTTCAACCTCGCTCAACTCCTGCCATGGATGCCATGGGTCAGGCACACCGACTCCAGCCAGTGATCGACAAGGTGCAAATCCCATTTGGGCACCCGATAGGGCCGGTAGCAAAATGCAAATCAGGAGATAGCCTTGGCGTCTCGGTCAAGCCGCATCAAGCCATTGGGTGCACTAGGATGGGATGGTTTACTACCAAGATATTTAATCTAAAATATCTTTTTTGTGCTGGACGCCATGTTGCCGCTCCGGGAGATGCAGTTGCGGCCGAACATTGCGACCGAACTCACAAACCCCGGGTCAGTTCAAGCGCTTTGCCAGAACCAGTGGCAGGCGACCCCAGTTGGTTTTTTTCAGCAAACTCTCAACCTTACAAAATTCATCATCATCCAATTGGAAAGCAATGGAACCCTTGAAGCAACAAATCCATTGGGAATGGGGCCGGTTGGTTTACGTGACATGTTCAACTCGGGTGTCCCGCAAGTATACTGCTGCAACATCAATCTGAACCATTTGGGTCTAACCGCAAGCTGTGCGCGGCCTCGCCTCGCTCTACGACCCAAAGCCCTTCGCGTTTTGCGATGGCGATGGGCCCAACTCTCCACAAGAAACTGTTAAAAAGGTGGAAAAACGAAATCCATCTAAAAGTCATTCTCATAGCATTCAGGCGTTGTCTCATTGCGTTCAGGTGTCATGTTTGCAGCAGGGCAACTGCACACAGTCGTGTTTTGGATTTTGCACTTCTACTGTTTGAAAAATACAAAGGTGCACTATGTCACTATGTAAAAAGTAGTTTTCAACCAAATAGATGCCACTGTTATGTATTATATTGTATTCTTATTTTCGGTTGGTACTGTGTGTCTGTGTAATGATTGAGATAATTGCGCTGCAATGATGGTGTTGGACTGTTTGCCATTGGCATTGCCACGCTCAAACCGCAACACTTGCAAACAATGACGCTTATCACGCGACATAAACCGATGGAAAGACTGATTGACATGGCATTAATGACCAAAACATATCAGATTCAAGCTTGACTGAAAAACCGGTATGGGCAGCGCATGACTTCAAACAAAGCATGTTCATGCAGGGCGTCCCAGCGTCCCGGCACCCGTGGTGATAAAACGCAACCCAATCTTTCACCATCTTTGGCACAGTGAACAATACAGCGCATTCGCCTTTTTCATTAGTAAATCAAAATCAGACTTTCACTACCAGCACATAATTCGGGTTCCTGCAGGTTTGTTTGCATTGAAATCATGCTCCTGCTGCTATTGTCCCCTGCCATTCAAATTGCGGCTGTTTCGGGAGCCTTTTTTGCAACGTGTTTTACTTTGAAAACTGCAGTCATCTTTGGAAAACGGCCGGAGTGTATCCCAAGATATCATTTTGCCAAACTATCATTTTGTCAGAAGATTATTTTGACAGAATATCATTCTGCCAAAATATTGTGATGCCAAAATATCAAAACTGAGTTTTCGCAAATATCAGTTTGCCACAATTTGTTCGCAAATTGATGGGCCAAAAAGCTCGCAAAATAAAAAACTGGGTCGTCCCCAAACACAACATTTTGTACAATCACTGGGGGTGATGGTTCCAGTGGAACCGTCGTCCCCTGTGATAGCTAACCGAACATGTCGCAAATACCAATCTGGGCCTAGGGTGATGGTTCCACTGGAACCATCGTCCTTTGTTAGCTTCGGACAGCTCTGTATTCAGTTTTTGGAATCTTCTTGGAGATCCACTGAGTCAAGCTGATGCTCAGCACGCTTACAGGGTTCCAGTGGAACCATCGTCTTTGAGAAGTGACTTGGTGGAGCCCACGAAGGATGATCCTGAGATGCAAAGCTAGCAATCCATTTGCGAAAAACTTTTGGCAACTTGAGATTTTGCAAAACTAAGCCCTGAAATTTTGACATCACAATATTTTGGCAGAATGATATTCTGTCAAAAAAATATTCTGACAAAATGATAGTTTGGCAAAATGATATCTTGGGATACACCCCGGCCGTTTTCCAAAGATGACTGCAGTTTTCAAAGAAAAACACGTTGCAAAAAAGGCTCCCGAAACAGCCGCAATTTGCATGGCAGGGGACAATAGCAGCAGGAACATGATTTCAATGCAAACAAACCTGCAGGAACCCGAATTATGCGCCGGTAATGAAGTCTGATTTTGATTTACTAATGAAAAAGGCGAATGCGCTGTATTGTTCACTGCGCCAAAGATGGTGAAAGATTGGGTTGCGTTTTGTCATCACGGGTGCCGGGACGCTGGGACGCCCTGCATGAACATGCTTTGTTTGAAGTCATGCACTGCCCATACCGGTTTTTCAGTCAAGCTTGAATTTGATATGTTTTGGTCATTAAGACCATGTGAATCAATCTTCCTATCGGTTTATGTCGCGTGATAAGCGTCATTGTTTGCAAGTGTTGCGGTTTGAGCGTGGCAATGCCAATGGCAAACAGTCCAACACCATCATTGCAGCGCAATATCATGCATCACAATTATTCGATTCATTGCACAGACACACAGTACCAATGCAATACACTAAACCTATAAACATTCATTGGATTGAAGATTACATTGTACATGGTGCACCTTAGTTCAGCCTTGCAAACCCTAGAATGCAAAATCTAGAGCATGACTATGTTGCAAAAATCAACGAAAAAAGTGCGTGCAGCTGCCTGGCGTCTGAATCAAACCGCAAACGTAACACCTGAATGTGATGAGAGAACACCTGAATGCTAGGAAAATGACTTCTAAGCGGAACTGCCGGGTCATGGATGCTTGAAACCCACTGGGATGCAAGAGCGGCCCCAAACTGCCGTTTAAACGTGGGGCCGCAGAGTTCAAGTGGGTGAGGTGCAACCCACTTCAGTTCCGGCATGACTCGGGCTGGCTTCGGTGCACGGGGAACCGCAGGGACATTAATTGGACCGAGTGACATGGCGACCAGACTTGGACCACAGACGACCGACTGAAACCATGCATTGACGAACCAAGTCGGCATTCTGACGGTTGTCGCACAGCTGTTGCACATGCGCTGTCCAGAGCCGCCAAATCTCAGGACCAGGTTTGCCCCTCGGGCAGCACTGTCCGCAGAGCCCGGTTGCCGTCAAGAGCCAATGTTCAAGTTCGGTCTTGTACAGGGCCTTGTCTTGGTGTGCCGGGACTTTCAGCACAGCGAGCTTGTGGCGCCCTAGCTCACTGGCCAATGATTGCATCTCAGACAGACGGTCAGAACGCTTGGCGTTGCAATTGGCTGGAAGGCCATCAACAACGTGCTTGGTGAACACAGCAATAGCGCTGGCACTATCGGACCAGATGCGAACCCAAGCCCCAAACCGAACGGCCACCGACAGGGGCAACAACAATGGCCTGCAGTTCAGTCCGATAGGCCGATTCGAGCACTCCAGCAAGCGGTTGGGCAATCAAAGGTTTGAATCCACTTGGGTCGTAGTCGAGCTGGACAGGAGCAGCATGAACCAGCAAACGCGGCAACCCAACATTCGGGATCTCTGGGATACAAACAGCTGCCATCCGTGAAAAGGTCCAAGATCTGACCGGCGGCGGCACGGAAGGGATGGGGAAACTACGCGGCAGACCGCCCAAATGTTGGAGCCACGGCACGTGGAGGCTGGAATGCAAAGTCCACACATGCAACGACACAACAGTTGGCAAGGTCGGGGGAGCCTGATGAGAATCCGAAGGCAGGGCATCACGCAAACGATGATACGAGGAGTCGAGACCACCGCAAAGTTGACAACGATCACTTCCGTTGTGGGACCAATGTTGGGCATGCTCATTGGTAATGTTGGGCCCATGCAAGTACTTCCGCAAAATCCCTTGGTCGAAGCCATCAAGTGCATGGTAGGCTTTCCTGGTATGCACCACATCAACAAGTTCAAATCCACGGAAGGACACGCGGTGGGACACATGGCCGCAACAACGGAAGTCCAAGACCACTGCAAACGGGCAAGAAACTCACCAAACGCACACGTCAGAAATGGGAAATCCCCAATAAGATCACGCGCAAGGGCAGTAAGGCCAGCATGGAAGCCAGCCTGGCCGAGGCGTTGGCAAAGGATTTCGGAAAGGGAATTGTAGTCCGGAGCCTCAGGGCCGAGGGGCCCTTCCTGAAAGTCCAAAACAACTTCTGAGTGGCACCCAAGGCTTCTGGCATCACGCACAGTGTCAGTCACGGCTAAGACCTGGGGGTCAAACAACAAACTCACAACGCAGCACTGCAGCTCTGGATTGAGCGAGGTCACGAAACCGATCCAACGTGGTATGATTGGAAAGCTGACGAGTGTACTTGCAAGATCCCGTGTGGCATTGACAACTCGGAACACGGCAGAACGCAATTCATGGCGGCCAGCTTGGTCAGTGCACCAGGTGAAGCGTTTCTGCGCATCCAGACGGATATCAAGCAGTGCGGCAAACTTGTCGACTGCATCGCACGCTGAATGGCAGAAGGGGACTGTAACAAGACGGCCCAGTTGCCGACATACGAAATTGGAAGGAACATCACATTGCTGGCACGGACCCAGAGATGGAACAAATGGGTAAGGGCAACCATCGCAACACAACCCTCAGGAAATCCACTGCATGACAGAACCCCAGGAGAGTAGGACCCTACAAAATGCCTCTTGGAGCCCGACAACGCACCGGCCCAAGCTTGGTCAACCCCAAGGAGCTTGGCAGCAGTCAAGGCGAAAGCCTTGACAATGTCAGCGGTAAACCCACAAGCAGACTGACCGCCACGGTGGGCAGCGGTGCTTCCAAAAAGGAATGGGTCGACGATCTTGCTGACTTCATGCAACCAATGCTTGGCAGCAAGGGTGGTCCAAGTTTGGTACAGAAAGCTGAGCACAGTGATGGGACGGTGGTGATTGACACCCTCAGGACTGCCACTTTTGGCGAGGGACCGAACATGGCCTTGGAGGACCTGTTCAGGCTAGGTCCCTGGTTGGCCGGCCTGGCTGTAGAGCTTGAGGATGTACGCAAGCTCCGAGCCATGCAAGGACAAAACATCAACCCGAGAAACTCCATCAAGGCTAACCGCAGAGTGCCAGGATTTACGCCGGGCACATCTTTGCAGGGAGCGGACAGAAATCTCAGGGGCTGGCGGAG